TCTATTTTTAATGCTTCAAGATTTCTTATCTGTACTTCGGCGTGATCTAAAAGTTTTCTTAATCCGTTTATATCATTAGGATTTCTAACAGGTGAAGTACTTAAGAGTTGTCCTAAATGCGAATTAATTAAGATGTTCTTTTGACCAAATCTGGAACGTAACAGTTCAAGAGCAGCTTCGTAATTATTTTCGATGAGAGTGCGAAACCAGAAATAGCTTTGGCGGCTGAGCCACCAAGAAAGCTTTTTAAGTAAATTAATTTTTCTATTTTTGATAAATTCGGATTTTATCAATCGCATTTTCGAACTGACCTATGAATTCTAACCAATCCGAAGAATCACCATAAAATTTAGAGATCGTTAATTTTGGAAGACGAGTGAATTTGTTACTTTCGTTTTGGGATTCTGTAACGGTTTCATTAGAAGTGTATCTATTTGCATTGTCCGAATTTTCCAACTTATTCAACTCTTTCAACTTTTTCTTTCCCTCTAAACTGCCACACTTGTATTTTCTCTTCATATTCCAAAGCGGATGAGATTTCAAGTTCAAATTCGTCTTCTTCGACTTTTAATTCTCGTTCTATTTCAGCGTCTAAATTGCTCAAGGATTTTGATTTTTCGTTTAACTGGTCTAAAATTTCTTCTAATACATTTACATTTATACTACTATCATCTTTATTCAGTTCGGTTTCAATTTTCTTTAATATCTTGGACACTCCGGTCCTCAGTACCTTTCGTTTCGATTTCAGTTTAGCAATAAGATCTTCCATATTATATAAAAATAGAAAATACAGGCTTACCTTGGCTGTCTTCGCATAAAATGATATCCAAAATTAAAAAACACACAAACTTCTAAATTGGCCAAAGGTTCTCGGCAGCGATGCGCCATATTGCGAAAGGTGGTTCTAATTCTAAATGAAGTGAAATACTTCAACAATCTACAAAACAATCATTTTATTTACAAAGCAACTTTGATTGCATCGAAGGTTCACTGCTAACTAACTACGTCGCAAACTAAAAACTAACATTCCTTTTCAGAAGCGAAGCGCCCTCTAACGGCGATACATAAATCATTTGGGGGATTTTTCCACACTATTTGCAAACGGACTCATTGAACTCATTTATAGTGAAAAGTTATCTCCAGAAAAAATTTTCAGCTCTGATGAAACTGGTCTTCTCTGGAATATGTACAACGAAATACCTAGGCGACCACTACAGAGAAGCCTCCATCTGGTGCCAAAGATTCCAAAGCGAGACTAACAATTTAGCATGCGCAAATGCTGCAGGAACACGCAAGTGTAAACTTTCCGTAATCGGAAAAAAATACTTTGATACTTTTGATATGCCTGTTTCAGCAGGAATTATATCCCGCTATTACAGGCACCTCAAATAACCTCGGTTAGGGGAGACATAACATACAGTGCTTCGCAGGAATACCTTGGCAAGGGACTGCAGGAAGATTGTGTAGATGTATCGGAAAAAATACACGATCTCGAGCATTTAAAGGAGTTTAAAGATTTCCCCCGTTCTATATCGTGCAAATGAAAGAGCGTTGGTGACACAAGCGTTAATGAATAGTTGGTTTGAAAATCATTTCATACCCAAAGCTGGGCAATATTTGAATTCGGTTGGTTTATCTGTGAGGCAAAAATTGTCCTGATTGTAGACGAGTGTTCGGCTCTATTTCACTGAAAGTTTTCATGAAAGATAATGTATCCGTATTATTCTTTCCTCCAAGCTGGACGTCCATCATTCAACTTACGGATATCAGAATAGTGCGCACGCTGAAATGCAAATATAAAGTAGTATTTTTTAAATCCGTGTTAAATTTCTTGAATAATAGCAAGCCTATTCAAGAATATTGGACATATTTTAACATAAAATCTGATGTGTGGAGTATCGCAAGATCATGGAAAGACGTGCCTCCAGATACTTTAAAAAATGCTTGGCATAATTTATGGCCAGCTACCATATTTCATGGTGAGAGTGGTGAAGATGACAGCCGCGAATTTGAAAGTTTTCAGATATAGTAAACCAAAGGCGAAATTTTCCAATTAATGGATTTTGTAAAGACATGTGGAGAAGTGGTTATAAATGAAAATGATATAACAGTTTTTCATTGCGATGGCGATGCCCATATCATTAGTCAATTAACGGATGGCGAAATCTGTAAATTTCTAGTACAGACTAGTACATTTCTAGTATATTTCTAGTGCGAGACATATTCAAAGTATGTTAATTCTGATGTCATGAGTCAAGTGGTTGGGCAAGAAGCAAAAGAAATGGAAAGTGACAAAAAACAAATATTCACCACTATCATTTAGCATGAGGCTGATGAAGCGTTAAATATATTTTTTAAATTCGCCCCCCCTCACCAAAAATACTAGAGAAATAATAAATATATGGAATTATTTAATGAAATGATTAAAGATAAATAAATAAATAAATAATAGTAATAAAAGAGTGGAAATCTGTAAAGCAGACGGACACTCACACTTTTAAATGAATTCATATATTAACAATAATGATGATTTTTAAGTAAAAGGTGGTTAAATATAATTAAACTGCGACTAAATTTGTTTGCTATAATTAGTTTATTTTATTAAATCTTCGCAGCATTATTATTATGTATTTTTTCCTTTAATACATTCGATAATACAAAAAAAAAAAAAATTATTTTGTAAGGCAGTACGCAGTTTTTGTCCGATAATCTGCCATCACTTAAGTATCTAAGTTTCGAACGATCCAGATTATCAGGTAATAGGTTTTCATCAAAAATGTAATAGAAAGATGTTGCATATTTCTTTGTGGCAGCTTATCATGGTCAATGGTTTTGTAAGTGTTGCCAAAAGTTTACGAATATGAATGGAATATTTATAAACTTTGCTTATAGAATTATGGAATGCTTATGGAAAATTTTTTTTCCACAAATGGGTTTCCCCTAGCTGAAAACCGGGAGACTTTTTTTTTTATTTATACTGGTCTTCATCACACCTTCCGAATCTTCCTGTTTTAAATTTTTAGCTTTCACTAAAAAAAGCTAAGGAAAACATTTCCGAACAATAAATGAAATTTATAAAATTAGAACTTAAACTGTGTAAATTCCTTCTTCTGTCTCTAGTGATTTGTAGCATAAATTTTCCTATTAAAATTTTATTTTATATGAATTGTCTTAATTTTCCGTAGACACTTATAGAATTTTTTATGAAACTTCAACCATTCGGTAATTGTACAAAGTCACTAGAAGAAACTCCTAATGAGGTTCTTAACAGAAACTTTCTCACGGACCCTTTTAGCACGGATAATTCGTTTCATAGAAGGATTAGGGCTGAAGTTTCGTTAAGATACCATCAGCAAATTTATGTTCGATACCAAGGTGTTGTTTGAAGATCTTCCTCATCCTGCCAATCGCTTGCCAATTCAAACTATCATTTTTGACAATTCTGCTGATGATAATTTCCCTGTTGTGTGTTATACAGATGGCAGTAAAATTAATAATCGAGTTGGATTAGCTTATGTCGTTTCCCATCATGGTTCTGAACTGGAATACAAATTCTTTAGAATTCCCAATGAATGCAGTGTTTTCCAAGCCGAATTACTGTGTATTAGTGAGTCAATTAAGTGGATATCTAACAACTGTTCGCTAGGTGCTATATTTCTTATTCGCACTGATTCTCTCTCATCCTTATATTCTCTTAGGAATATCTTCTCATGTAATAAATTAATTGTCACTACTCATGCTCTTCTTAAAGACCTTAATAATAAAGGTGTTGATGTTATCTTTTCTCATGTACGTGGCCACATTGGCAATCTAGGAAATGAAAGGGCTGATTGGTTGGCAATACAAGCTATACATCTTCAAGTAATTACTCCAATGATACTTCCCAAGTCATTTTACAAGAACAAAAATAAAGATGATACAATACTCAAGTGGAATGAACTATACAGAAATTCTACTACTGCCTCTTTGACTAAACTATATTTTCCTTCCATTCCTCACAGATTGAATAATAAACACTTTTTTTGAAATTGTGAAGTTACTCAATTTATAATTGGACATGGTAAATTCAATTCTTATCTGAAGAGATTTAGATTATCTAGTACATACTTGTGTTCATGCAGTTTCGGGGGAGTGCAAAATGTCGAACATTTGTTGTTCTATTGTTCAAAGCTTACGAAAGGACGAAAAGAACTCATTCTAAGTTAAACTCTGTGAACATTACATTTTCTCCCCCTCTTAACGTATTTGCTCAAGATAAAATGGCATTCTCTTTCTTCTGTATATTTATCTCTTACATGCCATCTGTGAATTTGTAAGTTTATATTTTATTTTGTGTTGTGTTGTTGTATTTTTTTTTTTTTTTTTTTTTTTTTACTTATCTCTGTAAGCCTTGTGTAATACTATATGGTGCACAAGGAATTTAAAATTTTCAATAAAAAAAAAAAAAAAAAAAAAAAAAACAGTGTGTAATCAGTTAATATTTGTATTTAATTTATTTTTACATCAGTAAATGGCACATTACTAAATTTATCTGAACAATAGTATGCGACTTAATTGTTAATTCTTTTATCGCTTTTAAAACTACTTTGATAGATATTCCTTCTCTACTCAGGATTTTCTCAGTATAAATGCATAAGAAATTACAAAATGAAAGTGGCCAAAGACATAAAACTTAGATTACCTAATTAAATACTATTAACATATTTTATATCCAAAATCACATTATAAATAGTTCAGCCACCTGGAACTTGCATTATAAAGTGAATTGAAACCAATTTGTTATTCGTTTGAAGTGACATCGCGTACAGCGTGCAAACCTCTTCAAAACTTCCAGTTTTCGCACAAGAACCTCTCAGTTTTTCATTTTTCAAGGTTGGCAGCTGTGCGTTCACGCCATAATGAATTTCAGATGTTTACAATATTATGAAAAAAACTGACTGAGAAAAACAAAATATTTAAAGAAAGAAAAACTGGAATATTTTAATATTTTATTAATTTGACGCCCCCTACAAAAATATAATTGAAAATTAGATGTAAGAATAGAAAGAAAACATAAATGCAATCTAAATGCATCGTAAACTTTATATATGAAGCATCGTTACATGGTATGAAGCATCTATGTAGCATCGTAAACTTTATATATGAAGTATATTTGATCTGCTTAACAATACATTCTTTAGTAGCTTCTGGACGCATGGTCTAAACACGTTTGCAGTCTTTAATTTATTTTTCTGCAGTGAACAATTGTAAATTCTTGATTTCAATGTCTTCCCAACAAAAAATCCCATTACCATGGTAATTTGGAGCACATTTGCAATGTCCAAGTCTATGAGGTTTCCGTACGCAAATGGCGTAATTACTACACTGTGTATTTCTGTGACATGAGGCTATGATTTGGGATACTTTCTCTTCCGCACGGTATTTTTCTTTTATAATTTCCTTGGAGAGAGATTGCATTTTGTTTGGCTCATCCATATCTTCAAAAATTTCCTCATTTTGATTTTGTCTCAATATAGTCTTTTGACCAGCTTCAACTTGAGAGATCATTCCATCATTATCAGTAATATGATTATTCGTTAGCTGTCTTGGTTCATACTTAAGCAGGAAATCTTGTTCAGGTAAACCCTGCCTAAAACTATACTCATGATTACCTTTTTCCTCCACTTTAAAATCTTCGCTATTTGGAAAACTGTAGCTTGGTACGTTTTTTGGCTTATTCACCGAATCTCTCTCAGTGTGGCTTTGACTGTATGCACTCTTTTGTTCAACATCTGCCTCAATATTTACATCTTCACTGTTTGGAAAGCGATAGCCAGATTCTTTTCTTGCTCCGTTACTCATCAAATTTCTACCATTTTGGTGTTGATCGAATGAGATTTTCTGATTACCTTCTTGAATATCCCTATCTTCATTGTTTGGAAAACGATAATCTGATATTTTTTTAGACTTGTCATACATATAGTTTGACGGCATTTGTATATTTAAGTTGCTATAATCATTATATGGTAGCAGTTTCTGCTCAACATCTGCCTGAATATTTACATCTTCATTATTTGGAAAGCGATAGCCAGGTTCTTTCCTTGCTCCGTTATTAGACATCAAATTTCTGTCATCTTGGCCTTGATCGAATGAGATTTTCTGATCACCTTCTTGCATATCCGTATCTTCATTATTTGGAAAACGATAATCTGATAATTTTTTAGGTTTATAATACGTATATTTTGATGGTATTTGTATGTTTAAGTTGCTATAATCATTATATAGTGGCAGTTTCTGTGGAATTCTATTAATCTGGTTATTGCCTGCTTCTAAATCTTGCTGGTTATTTTGCTGAATATTTTCATCTGCAGCATTTTCATAAATGCTGTTTAAAGTGGCAGGAGTTTTGTATGACTGACCGTGCATCGTTTTATCTTCAGATTGTTCATTGTTTTCAACAAGCACATTCTCTATATTTTCTTCATTTATATTACTCAGCATGCGAGAGTTCTGCCCATTTTCAGGACTGTACCAATCTTCTTGCTCTTTTTTGTTTTGCACAGAAATATCTGCATTTGAAAGTTCCTCCATAGAAGGGTTAGCAGTAATATAAGGTTGAAGCTCTGACGCCAATAGGAGTTCTGTTCTGTGCTCAATATTAGCATTTTCTTCATTATAAATGTTCTGCGGATTTGTGTATGTTTCAGAATTTGGAAATCCTTTCTGTCCTGTTTCTGCTACCATTCCTTGAAAAATATCTTCTGTACCAGTTTGCCTCTTTTTTCGGTTTAGCATGTTTTGATGATACTGTTTAATTTTGTTCTGAAACTGATGGCTTCTATTTGATGTTGCCATCAGTACATCACTATCTACAAAGATATAACAACAAATGAATATTTTTCAAATAAATTCAAATTTGTATTGTAAATTTGTATTGTATAAAATTTCTATGATGTTTGAAATTTCTGGATTTTATTTTTGTTAAGTATATGCAAAATGGTTAAGCTAGTTAGTTAATTAATGCAAAAGAGCTCTATTTAACTGTATTACTAGCAGGCCCGCGCCAAGCCTAATCGGCGCCGTCGTGCGAATGTCTAGCGAGCGCCTTTATGTAGTGACGATATTAAAGGGACATTGCTTATGGTTAACATTTAAAATGAAGCATTATTAAAATGATATTATAAAAAATTACAAAAAAAAATTACATTTTATCTTTTGTCTAAATATGCAAACACTTTGTGCTTTTATTAAAACCCACACTCAGACATATTTATTGAAGAATTATACATACATTTATGTTATAAAAAGCCGCCCAACCGGTATAGTGGTTAGCGTTGCTGACTGCTGTGCCGTAGGACCCGGGCTCGAATCCCGGAGAAGACGTGGATGTTTGTATAATGTATAGTGTCCGTGAGGCAGGGGGCACTCTAAATATGCGAGGCGAACGTCCTCTCGAAAGGTTGGTGGTAGGGGAAGAGGGTTGAGAGACGATTGGTCCCTCCCCCCCAGGGTGCTCTCCATCAAAATTGGGGGAGAAACTGAGCTAAATCGAACTGTCACCTGTAATGTGCTCAAGCCAACGACAGGCGTATCTTGCGCTCCTTGCCACGAGGAATTTCGTGGGCTTGGGCTGACTATAGGTCACGCAAGTGAAATAGTCAACAACAAAAAATATGTTATAATAAAAAATATATATAAAAAAAGTCATACTGCAAGCGAAGCGAAATAATACTCGTACTAAACGCATTGGATATTAAATATACTGCTGAAGACTAGATATTATCTTAAAATTAAAAACAATATACATATCCAATAAGCTTGCACTGAATAAATTGTTGTTCGCAGCGCAGTTTACGACAAGGTTCAAAGTGTGATTACAATGGCGCACAAAAAATGCTCTGGCGCAGATATCTAGGGATATCCAAAATTCTTTTCTGCACACCGCTATGTTCTTGACAACGATATAGCGTAGAGTTTCAACCGGCGGTGCTACATTTCTCCAAAAGTTTGCAAAAACTGCAGTTCATGCATAAGATTTATACTATTTATATCGCTTTTATTTTTATCAATTAATGATTTTTTCAGTTTTTGACATGACTTTTCTGATCTTGTAAATATATGTGAACAAAATACGTGATGCCGATGCGTATGTAAGGGTACAGAGGGCGCCGTAGACGCGTTCGACAAATTGCTTAGTCCTTATTTTGTGTCTACAGTTGCAATCGTAGTAATTTGTGCAACATTAATCTTTTTTGTGACTTTTTTTTGGTGATTGCTTGTTGTTATTGTTATTCTACGTAAAAAAAAAAAAAAAAAAAAAAAAAAAAAGTAAGTGCAGTTACATATTATGTTAAACTTAGGTTAGCTTTTTAATTCAGAAAAGCAACGATTTGAGCATAATTACTCCAAAAATGTTTCTTTTACATGAACCATTTGTTTATTAAACTAAAAATTATCTTCCGAGAAGAAAGGATTGGCATATTTACGGAGTACCACTGAATTTAAAGTATACCTTTTTGAGATTTGAAGTTAAGTAAAAATATACAAGGTATCCTGAAATCAAAAACTGCCCTATATCCGATTGTTAGCTATACGGAAAACCGAAGGAAAATGTTTCTTTATTTCATTAGTCTTAAATACATACTTTTAAATTTAACTTATTTACTTTAATAAACAAAAGAGTACCCCCATATCCTTGAATTATTTGGTATTGATCTAATAGTTCATATATTTTCCAAGCAATGGCTTAAGATATACTCACTTTTTCAGAAGTAAGGTAAAATATTTCCAACAGTGACTTTCCGAGTGTTTTTAAGAAGTGTTTTACGCAATAGTCCTTATAATAGTTATTTTCTACTTTTATTTTTACTTCTACTGTTTTCACCCGGAAATTACCTTTAACTTCAATGCAGCCGGTCGAGAAAAGCAGCAGAAATACTATTGAAACCTACAGTATCTGCAGTAGATACGCATTTGCCTGTGCCTGATGGCCCAAGTCCATTATTGCCGGCATTGCCCAAGTCCATTATTGCCATCCCAAGTTTAAGCCTTAACAGCAAATGGTCCTGAATATTTACAAAACCTAGTTTCGAGTTTCAGTTGTAAAAGGACAAAAATGAACGTAAATATTTTTAGATGTACTTTTGTCGAATCTTGTCAAACAACGAAGCGTTAGGATTTAGGATTTAGGAACGGGGAAGACGTTTACCATTTGATTAATTGGTTTAGCGCCGTCTCCCCACTACGTGATCCCAGCCGCAACGAAGCGTAAGCATTAATCCGATTTCTGAGAACGATTACGAAAGAATAAGCCTGTTAATTCGGAATTTCAGAACTTATTAAAAAAATAGCATAAGCATTGGCGCAATGTTATTGACAGAATTATCTATACCAATCAGTTTTTAGCCAAACAAAAGTTAGCCTTCCGTAGTTCCAGTAACAAATTATTCGAAAGAAATAATATTTTTCTAAAGTGTGTAGAAAAGATCACAAAATTTGACTCTGTCATATCTGTATATATTAATCAAATTCAAACTAAAAAATATGCTTCATTACCTTGGAGATAAAATTCAACAATTATCTTATTAGCGGATCAAATTATTGTAAATAAGGTCAAACAGGCAAAGCATTTTTCTATTTTACTTGATTATACCCCTGATGCCAGCCTTCAAGAGCAGATAACAATTTGCATGATGTATCTTAATTAAGAAAGGAAAATGGTTTAGGTATTAGTAATTTACGCGTCCAAAAATATGACAACGGTTCAAACATGAGAGGTAAACAGTTTTCGAATAATTATGCTCAAATCGTTGCTTTTCCGAATTAAAAAGTTAACCTAAGTTTAACATAATGTGTAACTGCACACACCTTTTTTTATGTAGAAAAACAATAACAACAAGTAATCACAAAAAAGGTAAATGTTGCACAAATTACTACCATTGCAACAGTAGACACAAAATAAGGATTAAGCAATTTGTCGAATGCGTCTACCGTTACATACCCATCGGCATCAAGTATTTTCACGTTCAAATAGACGGAAGAGAACACCAGAGACGAACTCCTGTGCTGGTTATAACTTTTGGTCAAATAAGACAGTGTGCTAGGAGGAAGGTACACACAGACCTGGCAAGCTCAAGGCTGCCTTAACACATTTAAACGCCCCAACCCCTAGAAGCCCCAACCCAAGAGGCTGCTAACCTATCGGTCGAGCCGACGAAGCTGAGTCGACAGGAATACTCAGTAACTCACATTCCACGTCCCCACGTCGTTGGAGGGATGGTAAAAACATCTGCCATCAACAGGGGCTCTAGTTCCGGACAGCAGAACGAATTCACTTAAGCACTGTCAAATAGACCGGGGCACCAATCCGGCCTGCTAAAACTACGTCATGGTATACAGATGTCGGCCCCACGGCGAAACCAAGGAAGGATATGAATATGCAGTTTTGAGGCTCCAGGTGCCCACTGGGGAACTTCAAGCAGTTTAAAGGCTCGTTGAATTCGCCATCTTCATCGATGGGGGTGTTTCGCCTCGCACAGTCATGAATATCTGACGATATAGCTCCACCACAACCAACAAAACGGACAAGACAGTAACATACGGTCCCTGCCGAGCCTCAAACAGTCATCACCAGCGATGACTCCAGTCCTGTGAGATTGATTTTAAACACCCGTGGTCGAGACTGCCTAGGTACAGATCCTAATCAGTAGCTTTCCAGGTTTTACCTGATTCGATTCCCGGAGGGGCTTTCAAATAAGACAAGAATTTTCCTGTTCAGAGAGGCAGCGAGACGAACTGCTTGTTTTAATAATCCCCAGGCGCCTTTTTGACTCAAAGTGCAAGGTCGTGCGACGCACGACCTTGCACTTACTGTCGGCGCGGGCCAGTCTACCTCATGTTCATGTTTTTACACATAGCGAAAACCACGACAGTAATGCGTAATTAATTTTTGTTTAAGTTAGTTTTGTTTGTGAGGCTATTCTGTTTCCTTGCTAAAAGTTGCTGTGCTCCATCTATTGATATTCCCCATTATACCCAGTTGAAGTCCTAGTGTTTAGATCACATGCTCAGTTTTCTTGCTCGAAACCTCCAATAAAGTCAAAGTGAAAAATGAATCAGTGGAAACTGCAGATATGAAGCATGCCGAGTAAATGTTGAGTAACAAAGACCTAATTAGAGCTGTTAATAGTGCATTGGATATAAGTATTTGTCTGATATAATTCCAAGTTTGGTAGAAGAAGGTATAGAAAGTGGAGTAGAATGGAAGAAGTTAATGACTTTGAGAGATAACCACGGGGATTTGCCAAAGCCAAACTTAAATTTGAAGAACCTCTTTAATTTCAATTGAACTGTCTTTCCGTATTCTTTGATTGCTGTTGCTCTCGAGGAAAAGTTCTACAAATACAAGGATCTGAGCTCAAATTACCAGTGACTTAACAGTCCAAAACTTCTGTTATTATAAGTTTCGTAAATATTGTTACCAAATGTAAAGGCGCGGTGAGATGGCTTCCCCGCAAAGCAGTTGTAGGGTTGCCATAAAATGGCAAGGGAAGGCAGAGTTGCCACATTTGGCGAGAAATCGCTCATTTGGTAAACATTTGGCGACAAAATTGGCGATATACCATGGATGGTTGGAGAACCTTCTGGAACGAATTCTTACATTTTCTGGAACGAATTTAGGTATAGAAGGTGGGGTAGAATGAAGAAGTTAGTGACTTTGAGAGATAACTACGGGGATTTGCCAAAGCCAAACTTAAATTTGAAGAACAATTTAGATGTGGGTACCTCTTTAATTTCAATTGAACTGTCTTTCCGTATTCTTTGATTGCTGTTGCTCTCGAGGAAAAGTTCTACAAATACAAGGATCTGAGCTCAAATTAATAGTGACTTAACAGTCCAAAACTTCTGTTATTATAAGTTTCGTAAATATTGTTACCAAATGTAAAGGCGCGTGAGATGGCTTCCCCGCAAAGCAGTTTAAGGGTTGCCATAAAATGGCAAGGGATGGCAAAGTTGCCACATTTGGCGAGAAATCGCCTATTTGGTAAACATTTGACGACAAAATTGGCGATATACCATGGATGTTTGGAGAACCTTCTGTAACGAATTCTTACATTTTCTGGAACGAATTTATTCTGGAACGAATTTAGGTATAGAAGGTGGGGTAGAATGAAAGAAGTTAGTGACTTTGAGAGATAACCACGGGGATTTGCCAAAGCCAAACTTAAATTTGAAGAACAATTTAGATGTGGGTACCTCTTTAATTTCAATTGAACTGTCTTTCCGTATTCTTTGATTGCTGTTGCTCTCGAGGAAAAGTTCTACAAATACAAGGATCTGAGCTCAAATTACCAGTGACTTAACAGTCCAAAACTTCTGTTATTATAAGTTTCGTAAATATTGTTACCAAATGTAAAGGCGCGGTGAGATGACTTTCCCGCAAAGCAGTTTTATAAAATGGCAAGGGAAGGCAGGGTTGCCACATTTGGCGAGAAATCGACCATTTGGTAAACATTTGGTGACAAAATTGTCGATATACCATGGATGGTTGGAGAACCTTCTGGAACGAATTCTTACCGGTTTAGTCCAGAATGTTCCCGAACACAAGCCGAAAGCTATATAAACCGTGCTGGTCTGCAGTCAGCAAGTGTGATTCATCGAGAGGAAGTGTGTGCCTCGTATAGAGTGCGAGAGAGAGTGTGCCTCGTCGAGAGGCCGAGTGAGAGTGCCTCGTCTATTGCGCGAGATAGTCAGTATCGAGTTGGTGTCTCGTCTAGCGAGTCAATCCCTGCGAAGTTGATCGAGTTGATAGCGGGCAGCGAGTGCCGAGTGGGTTGTCGAGTTCACCGAAGGACTCTGTTAGTGTATCGCGGTTAGTGCATCGTCGAGAGAGCGTGTTGAGCTCAAGAAACGACTGAACCGAAAAGTCGGGAGCCGTGCTCTGTGCGTCGTCGAGTGCATCGCGAGTTGTAGCGTGGAGAGTCTCGAAAGTACGTGGAGTTCCGAGAACGACCAAGCAGAGTCGGGAGCTGTACTCCGGAAAGCAGAGTTGGCTGCTTTGCAGGAAGCTGTCTCCACCGTTATTGCCTGACAGTGTGAAGGCTGTGTCGCTGATTGTTCCAGCGTGTTTATAGTAGATCTTGGACGACTGTAAAAAGTGTTATTAGAGCTGTCCTGATTAACATTGGCCAAATAAAGTGTGTTTCGATACTTCATAAAGTGTCGTCATTATTCACTCCAAATCTACGAACCCCGTACGAACGCGAGGTAAGAAAATAACGCAACAGCTGGTGTCAGAAGAATTAGAGAAAAACGTAACAACTGGTGTCAGAAGTGGGATAAAAAAGAAAAACGTAACAATATATTAAGCACCATGTTTACTTCCTAATGATGGCCACTTAACGCTATTTATTTAAGTATATAACTATCACTTATTTAAGAATGAATCAATATTGTTACAATTATTTTAGAGTTGAATAAATACGTTTTTTCTGCACCTTGTTTTGTTCATTGTTTTATATATTTTCAGAATCTTTTCGTTCTTTTCCATTCGGTGAAGGTTGAAACAAAGCCAATACCTGTGCATTCCCGCAGGTATATATTAGGTATCGCTAAATCTTGCTAACTGTTAAGCTTCCGCCCCACTTTTGAGGGAGAACATCCCAGAGGGCGGCTGGAGGGCCTCCTATCTATCTCTATTTCTTAAACCCCTATCACATACGCTTCTGCTACGCGGGACTGGACGTCGAAAGGGACATTTCTAGGAACCGGCATTTCCACGAAACCTGTGTAGCTAGGTTACCAAAAGACCTGGACCGCTCTTACGAAAGAATTTCAGTATTTTCTTTTTAACATTTTAAATATGTTTGTTATTATGGAAGATTGAATGTAATATGAATGAGATACATATGAGTGTTGCTATGTTTCAGCACTTTCATAAATACTTTATCAAAATAGCACATATTCTGAATTTTATAACTTCCTTCTGGTATGTTTCATCGCTTAGAAAAAAATTTAAAATGCGTACAACAAAGAAATGTTTTGATTTAAAGCATTCAGTTAATAATAATGAGTTATTTAAAATCAGATTCTGTTTGGCATTAAAACTCCTAAAGCATTTGTTGTAATACTTTTCTGAATCTTTTAGCAAGATTCATATATGTCAGTTTCACTTGCTATATTGTTACATTATACTCATATTTAAGCCATAATGTAATCTAGTAAAAATTAAATAACTCAGAATGGTCAATCAATTTTCGAAGTCACTTAGCTAACAGAAAGGAAAGCTGAATTAGATAATCAGTTTTTGCAATTTTTCTCTATTGTAATTTGTAGATAAAAATCACCCAGTTGAAATAAGTTTTTCAAATGTGATCAGTGACTTTGAACATTTTATATTCCTCGAAATAAAAACATGAAATCCAATATTATTTACTCACTGAATTCTTATTTTTCTATTAATGTAATGTGTATATCCTAATTATGCACAAAATAAACTTATATAGACTAACAGTAACATTACTTCTTGAATTCTTTTTTTTTATCTTCATGTGCATAATTAAGTGTAAAATGAATTTACATAGATTAAAATATATAGAAATAGAAGCCAATCTGATTTACACAACGAAAAGAACTGTACTTTATATTTTGAAAAAAAAAAAAAAAAAAAAAAAAAAAAAAAAGAAATTAAGAAAGTCAGCTATGACGAAAACTTTAACTTGAGGCTCAGCTGCTGGGTTTTTAATTTTAGCTTCTCTCTTTCGCGGAAGTCCGTAATATACAGAAGGGAGAAAGCTACATATTTTCCAAACAGGATTTTAGTATTATTTTCCACTTTCTGCACGTTTAAAAGTGCAGCGGAAACAGAAGAAATTAAGTCCTGAACATCGCTATCCTCTCTTTTGTGTACGTATTTACTCAATAGAATCGGCTTCTATTTCTACCGTCCACGATCTTACTACTTCAGCTATCGCCGTATTGGAAATTACCCGTGATACTTTAGAAGCATAACTTTCGTTTGATTGGTTGATCTGTACCCGGGACAGAGCTGCAGACGAAATTTTGGGCGAAATTTCAAAATATCCCGTATAGCCGGGACATCGTTTCCGTAGCTAGGCGGGACTTCGCTTCCAGCAGAGCTATTTATTCTGGAAACAACTCCAGTTTAAGCTAATACTACCAGAATCTCGTTTATCAGAAAAGTCCTGTCTAGCAGGGACCGTCGCTAGATGTGATAACCTTTCAAGAGAATTTTAGGTTCCCCATGTATTCAGAATGCCTCCTTTCCGCACAGATACCATACACTTACAATTTCTTACAAACATCCATTCCGTTTTCGGAATTTGAACCCAGTCCCATCGACAAAACAGTCAACGTCACTAACTATTATAGCCGGCTGGGCGGCATCCTTTTACAGCAATAATTTTGCACCTTGAAATCCTTTTCCTTATGTGTAATTATCAATGATGTGCACATAAAAGCTTCAAAAACTGAATGTGTTGGTGGTACATGACCCTGTTCGTTTGCGTTAAAAACTTACCAAAAGAGCTTCAGATCTTATAATTCCAAAAACTGCAATCTCGGAACTACGTTTATCTTACTAACTCTATAGTTAGATTAGATTTCTATTAAATGTTAAAATGACGTCATCTCATCAAGTGTTAATTCTACTGAATCTTTTATTATAACTTGGATATACTTAACACATGAGTAATTCGACTGAATGCAACGAGGAACACTGTATACTATTGTATATTTGTATTCTGAAACAATTTATTTTAGAAATGCGTAGTAATTGAAATAAATATATTGTTCCCAAGCAGCGATATTGGTTAATCAAATTAATACGTATGTATATTATAAAAAAAGAAACAATTTTACAAATAATATATTGACAGAGCTTACTCTTGCTGATTTCATGTATAAGGAATCTTTTCTTGCTAATGAAAATTCCCAAATTACTGTAGACGGAACAACCCAAAATACCTTCTTGTTCTTTTCGCAGTTCCATTATAGTAATTGAGCTGCAAGAGGTGCTGCACCTCATATTACTAGGCAAAGTTGCATCTTCACCATAACTCTCAAGATGCCACTTGTAAATTACTGATTCGATGGGAAAGCTACCAGTACTGTGTATGTTTATGGTCAGAGTTTCTCCTGGATAAACGAAGCCCATATCTATAACAAATATTTGAAATGAAACGAATGAATGAATGAATTTGAACTGAATGAAAAAGTTACAATATGTATTTATATCAAATGAATGGATCTTATTAAAACACTAAGCACTAAGCTAGTTGTGTTAGTCTTTCTGTTTATATAACGCAGTACCGAATCACATCCTTTCTTAAAAACTAACTTTACGAATTCTCGACATAAGAAAACATCATATTACACAAATATTCGCGCAATATTTCACACAAATAAATTAAAAAATTACATGATTTATATCAACTGATGATTTTTGTGATTTTTGAGGTAAGAAAGCAAGGATATTTTTCTTAAAATTATATAAAACATAATTATTGGAAAAAGAATGCTTCTAAAATAGGACCTTTTTTTATAGCACACGAACTTGCGCGCACACGTACAAAAAACAAACAAACAGTTGTCATGAACAGCTCATATCAAAGGTCCCAGGATGTCACGGGTGATGCGTTCAAAACGCGATCTTACAATGTAACATTACAGCTCACCTCGGATGCGTTTCTTCGGCCCTTTACGACTCATATAGGCATTGGACAATTACTACCACTTTTGCAAGTCAGCCTTTGTTATAAAACTATAAAGTGTTCGTTAGCTTTACTGGTAAAAGTGGCTGTCTTCTAACTGGTCTTCCCTGACTTCTTCGTCACTCCATAAGTTTGGGTCAGACGCCGTTAAAATGCTAACATGACGTGAAACCGGATTAACCAGATCGCATCGGTCTCTCCGTGTCACTATCGTTTAGATAAGGAAATAGTGATGCAATACGCTTTCTCTGTATCCATCTGGCTATTTGGCCTTCGGAATTCTGGAAATTTAGCAGCCAGGTCAAATAGGCATTTTCTGTGCGGAGCAGGAAATTTCTGCCATAGAGCTAATGGTGGAATGATACTATGGCTTTAGCGAGCAACTCTTTCCTGGTGACATAATAATTCCTCTCATGTTTAGATAGAGACTTGCTCCAGTATGCTATGACACGTTCTCGACTGTTTATTATTGGGACAAAACAGCATCTACACTCTCATTGTCCACATCCTTGTCAAGAACAAATGGTTTGTCAAGCTAGGATATATCAGGATTTTCGCAAATGTTAAAGACACCTTCAGTTTGTAAAATGCATAATCACGTTTTTTGTCCACAAAAGCGTTTCCTTACTCACTATTAGTTTGTGAAGGGGTCTCGGAACGGAAGGATAGTTCCTCACAAACCTCCTATTTCCGGGGTTTTTTCATCTTTAATTGACGACACTTTTTATGGATCTGTGCCTTTGACACAGATGATATGTCCGAGGTATGTCCGGTCACTGGAGTACATGCTCAGGATGGTCCTTAATATTTATTTTTTGTGTAGTTTTGAGTTTTCCTCTCCACAAATCATTGTTCAATGATCAAACTAATCATGGCAACATTTTGATCTTGATGCCATCGTACATAAATGCATAGAGAGAAACGCTCGTTCCAATGAATGTTTTCTTCGAAATTTGTAACACTGATATTACTAACATTATTCAAATTTTAAAGGGTTTTTTTTAAAAAACTGAGTTTTATTCTTAGAAATTAGTTGATCATGCAGTTGCTATGACGAATTTTTATAACAAAAATTTTAAACATTAACCATTTTTAGTAACTTCATGATTTTAAGTCATGTTTAAAATCCGATTTACCAAAATCAAAGAAAATTTTAATTTCACTGAAGATTAAATTTTATTTAAATTTAATGAGATTATAATCTCATGTTAGATTTAACATACTAGAATATTTTTCCAATGTTCAGAGATAGTAGCTTTCTTTCTTTAATACACTCATGTCCATAAATTAAGGATAATTCGGAGTCACGCGGAAATCGAACTCTAAAATAAATATATCACCTGTAAAATCACTACACACATCTTCAAAAATCATATGCAAATTTCAGGAAGTAACCAGATGACACCGATGGTACGTCACAATGACGAGAGTGTAAGAGAGTGATATATAAGGAGTACAGGCAAAGAAGCAAAATTGTTCGCAGGCGCTTTATAAGCATTTCAGTGCAACAACCGAATAGTTATGACACAAAGGACGCATTTGGATGATTTTTTACGTGGTAGAATTATCGGCCGTCTGGAATGTGGGCGTACCCAATTGGAAGCATCAGACGAACTTGGAATTGCCCAGAGTGTCATCTCCAGGCTTTGGAAACGATTCCAAGATGATGGTAATGTGAGTAGACGTTACAGCACAGGTCGCCCCAGAGTGACAACGCCGAATGAGGACCGGTATTTGGCAGTTACTACCAAAAGAAACAGGCGGAGCACAGCCTCAGACCTGTCTCGTCAACTCTCTTCAGCCACTGGTACGACAATTTCAAGGCAGACCGTGTACAGACGCTTAGGGCAGATTGGTCTATATGCTCGTAGACCTGTCAGATACGTTCCAATTACTGCAACTCACTGTCGCCTGCGGTTAGCCTGGAGTAGAGAGCATGCATTGTGGACACTGCAACAGTGGGCTTGTGTGATGATTTCCGACGAGTCCAGGTTTAGCATGCAGTCTGATTCTCTCCGGACTTTCATATGGAGAGCTCCGGGTACCCCTTACCACCAAGAAAACATCATTGAACGACACCGTTACGGTGGTGCAGGAGTGCTCGTTTGGGGTGGAATTATTCTGGGTTCCAGAACTGACCTGCATGTTCAAATTGGAACCATGACAAGCCAAATCTATCGGGACGTCATTCTGGAACAACATGTACGTTTGTTTCGGGGCGCCATTGCGCACAATTTATGTTTATGGATGACAACGCCCGTCCTCACCGTGCAAACATCGTAAGCGAATGCCTTCAATCGGAGGATATGACCCGTATGGACTGGCCAGCATTCTCACCGGACTTGAATCCAGTAGAGCACGTGTGGAACATGCTTGGCCGACGAACTGAAGCCCGTCAACCTCCTCCTACATGCGGAGAGCATTGCTTTTTGAGTGGTGTAATATTCCCCGAGATCAGATCGATAATTTGATACTCAGCCTGCCTAGGAGTTGTACGGACTGTATTGCATCGTCTGGGAGACATACAATGTATTAACACTCATACCAACCATGTAATATTGGTTTTTTGTAAATAGGTTTTTTTTTGTAATTTGCTCCAGGGAGAAAAAATCGCTAATTTTTTTAATAATATCAAACATATAGCATCTTTTTTTTATCCTTACCTTTTGTTTAAGAAATAAGCTTTAAAAATAAGTCAAATTTGTTTTGCTTCTAACTCTTCCTTTGCCTGATTTTGCATTATCCTTAATTTATGGACATGAGTGTAAATTGCACAAAATAACGCGTACAAAGGAGTGCAAAATAAAATATAAAACAGTTCATTTTAAATTATAAGGTTTTAAATTAAATTTACTAACAACGGAAGCTACATTTTTAATGATGATAATCATTATGCAACTTTCAGGGGTCATCAAGCATGTGTACGATGCGACAGATGCAACGTGTAACGTTTTGCAATCACCGGCAACCCCAGAACCGGGCGTATAGGGGGCGCATCACACGCAGTACTTGCAGCCATAGAGTGACAAACGCAGTATTTATGTGAGTACATTACATACATTACAACGCCGTTGTGTGATATTCTTGATAGGTTGCATAATTGTCATAATTCAGCGCCTGTGGCTTAAGTAGTGTGATACAGAGCTGCCAAAAAGTGGTGATTTAAGTTATAAGTTATTTCTCCCGCCTTCTCCGCATGCCTTCGTGGTGTAGTAGTCTGCATGCTGCGGGCGTATTCCAGAGGTCCGCGGTTCGATTTCCGGGGAAGGCGTTCCTAATTTTTCATCTTGCCTGCTTCTAAAAAAATAAAATGTCTCTACAGTGGTGCCCGAAATAAAAGGGTGTTGGATGATGTTTCTTCATACCCAGGATTTGGGGGTTGGGGCCCCTAAAAACCCCATTCGTCCATTAAAAGGGGAAGTATATAAGGCATTTCTCTCGCCTTCTTGACTTGTCATCGTGGTGTAGGGGTCTGCATGCTGGGCGCGTATTCCAGAGGTTCCCGATTTGATTCCCGGCGAAGGCGTTGCTAATTCTTCATCTTGCCTCTTAAAAAAATACCTAATGTCTCTACGAAGTAATAAGTGTGTTATGCGATTAATGTTGTGACACAAATTTTAGTAACGGAAGGGCTAGAGAAGTAATCAAAGGACGACATGATTCGAATACGTATTGACAGGAATTATTCCCGCCCTATTGGGTCAGTTTTTCTCGAAAATATAAGACCAAACAAAATGCGACCAATTGTCATGGGTCTTATAACAAGTGATTAAAAAACGTGGCATGAATTCGCTAACAATATATAAAATCAAATTTGCAAAATAAGACTGGCATAGGATTTGTTGACGATAGAATGCTGCAGACTTTCGAGATATATTAAGTTTGCTAATCTAGGGTTGCAAATATTGCGGGCTCACGCGCCTTGTTCTCGAAATTGTAAGCGATTACGAAATATCACACTTTGTATTAGAACCTGGCATCAAGAAGTCCAACAGGTTTCTTTGTAAAAAGTAAAATATAACGTTTAGCATCGTAATAGTCTTTAAACTATAAAGTGATGGTTTTAGTTTTGGACTAAAAATAATAATATCTTAGGGCTCACATATATTATTTTAGAATATTATCAGAATTTCAAACAACAGAATAAGTAATAATATAGAAATGACATAAATACGAACGATTTTATTGAATTTGCTTAAACATATTGACAGTTTGGTTTAAAAACCAGCTATTGTTTCCAGCACCATGCTAATATTTTTAGAAAATAAATAAAGATTTTATGTTCATATGAATAGGAAACATATAAATTAGCAATAGAAGTAAAAAAAAATCGTTAACTGGCTAACCATTTATACTCTGTTAAATGAGAAACGGCTGTGGAATCTGAATCATTTACTTCTAATTTCCTATATCAACAATCTGATATTTTTAATAATTACATAAAAACGTTATAGTTTCCTTAAACATTCGCTTAGAGTCGTTCAAAAATGAATGTTACGCAATCTCACCTATAGGTATAGTGCGGATTCTGAAGTAAATTTTGCCCAAGCTTTTCATGGGATGTTCTGTTGTGGGATTTGCTCTGAAGACAGTAGCAGAAAACCGGTTCAAATCAAAATCTATTTCTGTCACAGGGCTGATTCGAAGCTCCCGACCTTCGCTTCCTATCACCATGTTCCACAATGAATTTTCTGCAGAAAGTTGTGAATAAGTATAGTTCTCATTGCAAAAGCAACATACATTTTGAACGGAAATAAATAACATTGTGGTATTTCCAACTCTTAATTCCCAACCAATTTAATTATTACCTCCTTTCGAAGTCTTTTATGGTCATCTTCCATCTGAGGCTTGCTACAATGATATATTATGCATATAGATGTTTCTTAATATAATACTTAGGAACTGACTGAATACACAATGAAATATTTAAGCATTGATTATATTTGTACTGAATCGGGCGATTAATTGAAACTATTTATTGAATTTAGAGACAAAACTGGTAATAATTAAATAATTATCAAAGTTTTTAAAATGATGATCTTGACAAAGCGTTTAGAAATTACTGCTATCTCATCCTTAGCAGCGTGTATTGAAAAAACATGTTTTGAGCAGACCAGATATCATTACAAATAAGGACTGGTGGTCAGGTTTTCAGAATTTTGCTCAGAAAATATAGCTTACATTTTATATAGTCTTCTGGAATAAAATCAGAACTTACATACAAGACCAACTTGTAGGAAAGATCAATGATTTGACAGTGTTTGTGTGAAGATGCTTTAGTGCAATACTTATATAAACAAGTGGATAGTTAAATGTTTAAAAATGTTTGAACGAGAAAATTTTCCAGGCACATTTTTCGTGTATAAATGTTTCTCAATGCCTCCTTACTGTCTTTGGACACGCAAATTCTTCCCCAGAGTACCTCAGCTCTCATTTTGGAGGACTATCGTTCTAACTTGATGCATATTACTTTAAACATCTGCACGTTCTACTTGATGTATTACTTTAAACATCTGCACGTGTGTTGAGGAGATGCTGTAAAAGTAAAAAATATAAAGTTAAAACAAGAAGATGAATATTATAAATAATGTTGATATAAATCAGATACTGGCTAATCATGGGCGTTTCCTGGCTCATTTTAATCGGTTCCATCTACACAATAACGATAAATGCTTAATAGGTGACATGTTTGGGGACGCCAGGCACCTCGTCGATGAATGTACGCTTACCCGGAGTGCCGCAGGAATTTAGATCCGTCATGAAAACCGGTATTTAAACCGGTATTTAAGATGATATTTTCATTAAAGAAAATAAGAAAGCAAAGTATTTTAAATTATAAGCTAATATATGCCAAGTAGCAAAAATTCTGATGACCGGATAAAACCGCTCATAACGCTCAGAGGATTAAAAGGAACTATTCAGATTTGAAAGATTTTGCAGAAACAATACCCTTATTATGATAATGATATATGTATATATATACAGAGAGAGAGAGATCTTCAAATATACATGGTGTTCCAAAATATTGCATAAATTATATGCAGTGATGTTCTATTCTATTTCCGGTTGATAAAATAGGGCCAAAGATATAATATTGCTATCGATTGTTTTTCAGGAAAATGTAAAGGAAAGAACATGACAGCAATCTGATAGCAGAAAGAATAATTTTAAATATTATAACTCATAATGCGCCTTCATTTGACTTGATATTTACATTATAACCTAGTAGAGTCATTAACTTCTTCTTTTTTTTTTTTTTTTTTTTTCAACAGGAGACATGAAAAATAAGCCGTGTCCTCGCTGAACACTGGATCTCTCGATTACTAGACGAGTGTGCTTCTAATTACACCATAAAGGCAAAGGTTCAATCAATCTTACTTCACTAGACCAATTATCACATACGCCTGTTCTATTTGGAGATTTGCATGCACTTCTAATGTGAATCTAGTTTAGACAATCCAAAATACTACTCTATGATAACTAACACAATCACGTTGGCTCCTTAGGAACAAAGCGATTCACGAGAAACGGGTGTTAAACCCATTCCCATATTTATGGTCAAAAGTGCCAAAAGAATTTTAAGCGATACTTTTAAATTCAACAATAATTCAATTCCACCTTTAGGTTACGACTGTGTGAGTGTAATCAAAAGATGACGCCCCGGCGCCAATCTCCGAGTTTTACATTTATTTAGTACACTAGTAATTCAATCTGCAATTCTCTCTCGTCTTTTTCCCGTTTTACGGCTTATTTTTCCAAATTGCACGTCTCTGAGAGAGTCTTTCCTGCCCCTATCCGAAAGCCTGCTAACTCTGGTGCTCTTTCTTCCATCTATAGCTAAGTTTTCATGCGCTTTGCATATCTCCCACTTCAATGGCATCACGTGACTCTCTGATATAAAATCGCCTATGAACTATGTTCTGAATAGTCAGAAACTTCTGTTTATCAAAACTCAGAGTTAGGGTTACGTCCAGGTACTCTTTTCCCGTGGTCAAGCCTTGGCCTGCGGCCACCTCAGGGACAAATGGATTCTGGAATTTTCTTTTGACTGAATTTTCTAGTTTCTGTGTTGATAAAAAAAGCTTTATCTAATTTACGCGTCATAGATATTTGTCTCAAACGAATTCTATTTAGTTATTCTGTTTCTGAGAATGTTTAAAATGTCATTAATTACTATTCTTAGGGAAAACCAGTGACTGTACCTGGATCTATAATTATTTCTTTCATTGTACCAGATTTCCATGTATATAATTCCTGCTTCCAGACTATTTTGGGATCATAGGCTACTTCGTTCTCCAACATAAGACTGAATGTAACAGTAACTCCGATTTGCCTGTTTAACCAGCAAGTATGGGTCTTCTTATCCCAGTCATCACAAGGATATGCTGGTCGTACATGCAATGGCTTCCTGCAAAAGAAAAATGGCATATGATTCGGCGAAGTAAGTATTCCCTTAACGCTGTGTTGTTCAATATTTTTATCCTTCCGAACTTTTGAAATCCTGAAATCCTGAAATCCTTTTGAAAACTAAGTCCTAGCTCTCCGTGACGTGAAAATATTGACTTACCATAGTTAATATCCCTTTTCCATCCTCATAAAGTTAGTAACAAGAATATCTTTTCCTCCCTCAGGTTTGCAATTAACCCATATTTGTACGCGCAAGAATTAAAGAGATATAGCTAATATTTTTATAGCATATGCAAACAGATAACTGCCACCATAGCTTAATCGTCTACTGACAATTCCAAAAATGCCTTAACATAAATCAAGGCAAAGTGTAATATGAGCAAGTGTATACGTTTAGAAGAGATTATTTTTAAAAACAGTTTCAATAAAAATATTTACTTTTCTGACATAGAATTATCGCGTGTATTTTGTCAAGTTTAGTTCTAGCATACAGATTGTCTCCAGAGGATTATTTATGGAACTTGGCAAAAGAAATTGTAAACGTATAAACAAAGTGAAAGAAGACAGTTTGTGTCAGGTATTTACGAAAAACGAAAATTGATACATACTTCTCTCTCCTCAATGGTAACTACTCTTCACTGACTTTAGGAAGCACAAGAAAATCTGATTGAACGGTTTATGCATACTCTACTGGAACTGAATCCTTCGATAATACGACATGGTAGTTTTCTTCATGCGTAATGAGAAAAGGACCTAACTTCTCTTAGAAAGTTATCCAGAAGTCATTCCTTTAACATATAGCATTCACTTGCTTTTCCTTAATCGTTTAATAATCGAACAATATGACACTGTCTACCAAGTATATTTACTGCACACTATCAACTAAAGATAAGAACACCACTCTGCTGAATTCCGATTTCTGCGAAATCTAGAGGACAGCATTTAGAAAGGGATCGTCTTCCTCGTGTAAATGAAGCCAAGAGGGTCGGACCGAAGACTTCATGGACCGATCCAATCCTAGTTTTAACTAGTTTTGATTAGGATAATCCTAGTTTATATAAGTCATTCTTCTGAGGAGAGTCTATAACATACAGCCACTACTGTTTTGGGAAGAAAGAGTAAGAAACAGTTGCTCTAGGGGAGTCATATCCGTAACCAAATTTTTGTAATCGCGCAAAAGTACGTAAGTGAGTTTCAAGGCTCCTAATAGTACTGTTTATGAATTATTTGAATACATGTGGCTACAGAGGGGTTCAATCTAATGGTTGTGCAATTATTTGTTTGTGCCAGTAATAGCAAATAATGCTTTTCAGATGCTGCATTTAACCTCAAGCGATCTTCATCAGCGATTTATTAAATACAAATCATTTTCAAGTTTAAAATGCGGTTAGAAATTCTTGACATAATTCTTTGGTGATACTCAGTTATGTGGAGACACAACACTCTCACAACTTTGCGTTTAACCAAGCTAGGCGCTCGATGTTGACATGGTAACTACATAAGAAGAACGAGGAGGTATGATTAGAAAATAAATCCTCATAACCAGAAGCTCCTGTTCAACACCGTGTTAGATAATTGTTGAATGTTACTACTATCTGAGCTATCCTTATGACAGAAAGGAAGAAGCTATAGCTTTGTGTCATTCAACGATCTTTTTCTCCTGAGTGCAACAAAATGTTTCCGCACCACTTTGTAATGCTGCATTGTGTGACAATATCTTATATTGGAGCTAGAAGAGTTTAAAACCAAAACATTACACGGACCAGCATCATATCAGAATAAATTTGAATTCCCAATCTCTTTCAAAATTTCTTTAAAAAAAAATTTTTTTTAAAGCCTCTATAGATATCAGTACGATCCAATAGCATATACAGATGGATCAAAATTAGATGAAAATCTGGAAATATCTTGTATTTTCTTCAAAGCAAAAAATTTAAAAATACGCTGGTACCGACCATCTAAAAATACCAATGTTTTTAAAATATAGTTTTCCAAGCTGTCATTTTACCTATTAAAAAGGCAATAGAAATTGCAATTAATAATAAATTCACTCAGCTTATGATCCAGTTTAGAATTTCTGTCTTCGTTACGTACAATAGCAAACTTTCAGCACCCTTCTCTAATAGCCCAAGATATCTTTCATTTATTCCGAAAAAAAAAGCCGAACTGACATTTTTCTTAGTTGAATGAAAGTAAAAGCAGAGAATGACGAAAGCGAAGAGGCCGACTTCCTTTTTAAAGACACAGCTACGTACTACACTTGATTCTGAAGTTAAGAACAGAAAATAGCCACATAAAAATGTATATATATCGTCTAGAGGAAAAAAATAGAAAGAAAAGAAAAAATTAAAATGCATTAAATTAAGCAGAAATAATGGAATTCTGTACACCAAAACAGGCAAGGTAGAGGTAGATGTATGCGAAACACCAAAATTACATTTCACCATTGGTCGTACAGGTATAGTTCTACCACACTAGTCCCACCAGCGGCCGAGCGGTAAAGTCTCTGAACACTGGTAGTTCGGTCTGAGGTTCGAATTCCGCGAACGGGCTGGCTGCATGGGCGTTTTCGTGGTTTTGCCCATGTGTAACGTGTATACGAGCCAGTTGCCTTTAGAAAGTCCTCTATGAAGGCATCCCTTCCCTCTGCTAGATAACCCTAGTGTGCTTTGCCATAATTAAATAAACCAAACCAAACCTACCTCACTAATGGAGCAGTTCCTCCCGCAATTTTGATGAAGAATACCCGGAAAATCTACCAGGTTGACCACTGACCTTAGGACGTGATAAGCCCGTCGGTGTACTTGTCATCTTGGCAAATATCATCTGCTACCTGCTTGGCCTATCCGTGAGTACAGGCATCAAGCCAGGTGGCATTTTAAATAATTCTGCAAAGTTAAACAGGTACGTACAGTTTTACGAATGTATTTTTACATATAATAATGCTGTACATTTTCAATGCTAGGATATTAATTATAGTTGCTTGTTATGACCTAATTTAACCTAGCATTTACAGCTATTATATGTTGGATATTGTTAAGGATTCACATTGCAAATTCATAACATAGATTAATAGAACATGATATAAATTATGCTTAGGAACATGAAATATGCTGTCATTGACACGTTGCAATTCGTTTCATTAGCAGTTTAAATAAAATAAGTGTCTATAGAAAAACTGTAATTCTGAATAAATACAACAATAGCTATAGTTAGTTACCCATGGTACGGCCCTCCAAATTTGGATGCTGATTTCAGTTGCTTATAAAATAACTACATTTATACTTGTACTAGCCGCTATGCGGCCTGCCTTTGTATGGCTTTTTAATGTACCGGGAAAATGCCTAAAGGGAACACAAAACATTAAATTTTAAAACTACACAGAATTTTACTCTGCAGAACAACTTTATAAAAAGAGAAACAAAAACAAACCAAAAGGAAAAAACCCACAAATTTCAATAAGAACGTATTATATATATATATATATATAAACCGCAACGAAATAAGCAATATCCCTTAATACAAATATTAATTATCCTATTAAATAAATTAACCAACTTCCCGTTGCAAAACCTTAAGAATTCAAATGGTATAATGGAAGTTAAGAACGTTGTTTCCTAAAAACGAAATTGCAAAACTTTTATATGATTAAAGCATAATATAAGAATTACAATAAAATAAGCAATAAATTCATATCTTCAAGAGAAAAAGTCAGCAGTCCAGTATCCAACGTAATGAATGAAAAACTGTTGCTAAAATCTCATATTTTCAATAGTAAGCAGTCCAGTACACAAAGCATTGAATCAAAAACTGTTACCAAAACCGCATTTCTAAAAGAATGAATCTATTTAAAATGACACGATTTCATCAAAAAAGATACAAAAATCTGATTCGAATTTTGAAAAAATTGCTTCGAGGTGCACTGGCTCTTGTCTAGATGCACCAATGTACCAAATTTCGTAGCCCTGGGTCTATTAGCTCTTCGTAGCCCTGGATCTATTAGCTCAGGCACAGCACGAACGAAAGACCAAGCACGAACGAAAGACAGCAAGAACGAACGACACAGACAGACTCTTTCTTTTATTATATGTAGAGATATGTTACCATAAAAGACGAAAATCTGGAGAATGTCGACATTCTCTGGTGAATATCAACATTCGCATAGTCGCTTGATGTATGTCCAAAATATATGCTAAATTCCCTTATCTCTCACTTACACCGGTAAGTGCCGGCATTCACCATGCACTGATGGTGAATGTTGAATAAAACTATTTTTGTTATGTTTTAAAATGATATTATTAAATTAAAACATATTATGATATATGTCAAATCAGGAGAAAGTAACAGCACATGTAAATAAACGGTTGAACTAAAAGGAGCAGTATATTCTAAATGACAAAAGCAAACAACTCCAATAAAAAAACTTACTTGTGATTGACTTTATACGATCTTATTTATTGCGGTAATTTAAAGTAATTCAAATTGTTGTAACACTTTGAATTGCCCAAGAGTCTCTTGCTTTCACATGCTTTTCTGTCCGTCTTCTCGACTTCTCATTTCAACCTACACCAGAGAATATCTGTGCTTGTTAACGTATACCGGTGATGGTACGAATATATAAGAATATAACCAAAATTCGGTCTTTCACCGATGTATTTGGTATGTGTCGACATTCTCCAGTTTCGGTCTTTCACGGTAACATATACATAACTTTGTTTCACAGCATCTACACTTGATACAAATGGAGCAAGTTTCACTTTTAAATAAAATGTTTAAATCTTAAACGCATCTACTCCTTATCGTAAATATAATTAGATATATATAAACGATTTGCAAGGAAAATAATATTACAGAAGGAAGAAAATATCCTTAATTTACACTGATAATAGTATGAAACAATTAACGCAATAAATATACTATCTACAAATAAATGCAAAATTTAAGATTAAATACAAACAGATAGTTGTGAAAGAAAACATTAAACTCAATAATCAATACTAG